AAATACATTATCTCACAGTTTATTCTTAGACGCCCTCGAGTATAACTCATACTGACCTTAGGAACAACACATCTGAACCTGTGCCATCCTCATTATCTCCAACACACTTGAACTTATTGCTGCAGTCACTGTGTCAATTCATCTGATTGAGGGTTTCCTCTCTTTCACTGACTCTCTACTTTTCTAAGTATGATGTCACTTTCCAAGGAATAGCCTCTTTTAGCAACATGCCCAAAGTATGTGAGATGATGCCTCACCATCTTTGCCTCCAAGGAGGCAAAACAAATGCACTCTGGCTGCATTTTTGCCAAAATATATGTGTTCTTTTGGCAGACTATGGGATATTCAGTACTTTTCTCCAATACAACAATTCAAAGGCATCAATTTGTCCTCTGTCATCTTTATTCACTATCCAGCTCTCAAATGCATAGCAAATGATTGAAAAAGACCATGGTCTGAATCAGGTGCACCTTAGTCTTCAAAGTTATATTATTGCTTCTCAGTAATTTGGAGAGGTCCCTGACAGCAGGCTTTCCCAATGTAATAAGTCTTCTGATTTCCTGATTCTAATACCAAGGATGCTGATCGTGGATTCAAGTATGATGAAATCTTCCAATGCATCTTGATTGCAAGTTTTGTCAATTTTGGACTACAAAATCCAGTAAAAATCTTCAGTTTCTTCCTCTTTGACTCTAACTGTTGGTGCATATATTTTAATAATAGTCATATTAATAACTCTTCCTTGTATGTATGTGGATAGTATCTTATCACTCACATTTTACTTCATGATAGAATTTGAAATATACTTTTTAACTATGAATGTAATACCATGCTTCTTCAGATTTTCATTCCTGACATATCAAAAAAATCACTGAAACAATACAATGACAGAGAAATACCAGAAATATAAGCTGGGTTTAGAAGAAGTTGTGGCACTAGAGACATTATTGCCAATGTCAAATGGATCTTGACAGAAAGAAAAGAGTACTAGAGGAATGTCTATCTGTATTTCATTGACTATGCAAAGGCGTTTGACTCTGTGTTTCACAACAAACTGTGGCTAACCTTGAGGAGAAAGAGAATCCTATAGCACTTGATTGTGCTTATGTGAAACCTAAACTGGGTCCAGGAAGTAGTCCTCAGAACAGAGCAAAGAAACTGCATGGTTCAAAACCAGGAATGGAGTGTGTCAGGGATGCATCCTGTCTCCATACTTTTTCAATCTATATTCAGAACAGATCGTTCCGGAGATTGGGCTTTATGAAGAGGAATGTGGCATCACGATTGGAGGAAGACTCACCAACAACCTACATTATGCAGGTGACACAACCCTTCTTGCTTAAACTGACAAGGACAAGAGCTATAGTCTTCAATGTGGATTGAGGTTCAATATCAAGATGGCAAAGATTCTCACCACTGGGCCAATTGGCAGCACCATAATAGATGGAGAAGAGATTGAGGTTGTTAACAACTTCATCTTGCTCAGCTCGACAACCAGCATTCTTGGCACCAGCATTCAGGAAATCAAAAGACAAATTTCATTGGGAAAATCTGCTGTTAGAGACCTTTCCAGAGTACCAAAAAGCAACACTGTCAGTCTACAGACTAAGGTGCACCTGATCCAGGCTTTAGAATTACTTATTGTGCATCAGAGAGCTGGAAAATGACTAAGGATGGCAGAAGGAGAATTGATGCCTTTGAGTTGTGGTGCTGGAGAAGAGTTTGGACATACCATGGACTATCAAGAAAACAAGTATGTAGTCTTGGAGAGGGTGAACCAAGTTTGTTTTTGGAGGTTAAGATTTTTAAGCTCCATCTCACATACACTTTCAGTATGTGGCCAGCAGAGACTGGTCTTTGTAGTAGGACCTCATGCTCAGAAAGGTGGAGGGACAGTGCAGGAGAGGAAAACTTCAGATGAGATGGATTGATACAGTGACTGGGGAAACAGGGGCAGATGTGTCAGAGTAAATGAGATTGGCTCAGGGCAGGGCAGGCTTCAGAGCTGTTGTACTAGGGTCACTATTTGTAGCAGGCATCTAGATGGCACATAACAACATAGTAGGTCATGTGATTGTCTGATTTAAAGTGGCCAAGGCCAGTCCCTCTCATCTCACTAATGCCTAGAATCTTCATGCATTCTTTTTGTTATTTTTTTTTTACCACATATGTGGCATCAGGATTGGAGGAAGACTCATCAACAACCTGCACTATGCAGATGACACAACCTTGCTTGCTGAAACTAAGGAAAGCCTGACAAGTTTATAGCAGAAGATCAGGAACTGGAGTCTGCAATATGGATTGAAGCGCAACCTAAAAAAAAACCCAAAGATTCTTACCTCTGGTCCAGTTGGCTGCACCATGATAAATGGAGAAGAGATTGAGATTGTTAACAGCTTCAGCTTGCTTGGCTCCACAGCACTCCTGGTACCAGTAACGAGGAAATCAAAAGACGAAATGCATTGTGAAAGTCTGCTATCATGGACCTCTCCAGAATACTGAAGAGCAATGATGTCAGTCTAGAGATAGAGACTAAGGTGCACCTGATCCAAGCCATGATCTTCACAATTACTTGCTATGCATCAGAAAGCTGGACAATGAATAAAGATGATAAAAGAAAAAGTGATGCCATTGAGTTGTGGTGCTGAATAAGAATAAAGAACATACCATGGACTGCCAAGAGAACAAACAGATCTGTCCTGGAGAGGATGAAAACAAGCTGCTCCTCAGAGGCAAGGATTTTAAAGCTTTGTCTCACATACTTTGGGTCAAGAGGGACCAGTCCTTGGAGAAGGACATCATGCTTGGAAAGATAGAGGGACAGCACAGGAGAAGAAGATCCCAGATGAGGTGGATTGACACAGTAACTGGGGTAATGGGGGTAGGTGTGTCAGAGACAGTGAGATTGGCCCAGGATAGGACAAGGTTCAGAACTATTGTACATAGGGTTGCATATAGGTCTCAAGTGACTCGATGGCACATGACAACAATAAAAACAACAGTTTTCCTATATTCACACTTTGTGTATTCCACTTATTAAAGAATGTTCGCAGCTATCCTTATTTTTTAATGACTTCCAATCTGCAACCTACCTCTAATGCTATAGCTATCCATCTTATGGTTTAGGAAATTAGAAGTCTGAAATCAGTGCTAGCTATATAGAAAGAGTATCAACTGGACAATCATGCACTCTGTTCCTGGCTTTTGTTGATGATAGTAGGTCTTTCTGATCTCTGCCTATTCTCTCTCCTGTCTCTTTAAGATGAAAGGTGATACAGGCTATATCCTTTCCTGACATCAGGGGAGTGGCCAAATCAGGGCTGTGATCTCAGTAAGGGTGTTGCATCCCACCCTATCCAATCCTCTTCCATCCTATCAGGGCTGACCTCATCAGATTACATCATGGGGTGTGATTACATCATTACACAAGCTACACACAATTACTAACTGCCAAACTAAGAATCATGTCCTAGCCACAATTTAGGGGGATACAATTCAACCTTGGTATCTGGAAATCCCATTAAATTTACTTCTTATGAAGGGCTTGGGTTTGATTGCTGATGAATGCATTGCAGGTGGAGTCACGAACAGTCAGCCAGGGGAAGCTTGCATATTGCCATTTTATGCTGAATATGGCTCAGCAAAAATTTCAGACTAAGACAGAATAGGAAGAAAAACTTGGCAATCAACTTCTAAAATTACCCTATGGGTTACATTGGTCCTATCTCCTAAACAGCATGGCTCCAGAAACTCTATGAACTTGGGTAAATGTCGATAGTTATTGAGGGGCTTCAGACCTTTTGTTCATAGGGTTGCTATGAGTCATTCTTGACTCGAAGGCAATCAACAACAACATCTATAACTAATTTGTAGGATGACAAATGAGTCGGACTGAGTAGAGGTCAGCTAACATGAACTATTTTCTGTAGTCTTGGGAAACATAAAACAGATAACGAACAGGCATTATTGCCTTATCCAATTTCTGGTGATTACAGAATCCTTTTCCTAAAATATTTCATAGTGGGCACGATTGTTCTGACCCAATAAATAATAAATTAAAGGGAAATTTTAGTTTAAACCTTTGGCACTTGCAAATTGGCTTGACAAAAATGGATCTGAATCTTGCACTTTGTTGAAATAGTTGACTTGATCCAATCTGAGTTAAAATAGGGACTTCAGAGATTGAAAACCATTGTACAAAACTCTTCCTTAGAGAATGGATGATTATACCCACTGCTTCTCTACTTGACAAACTAATTTGGTCTGTTTTTAAATTTGGGGGGAAAAATGAATAGCACCTCACAATGGCTTGTCATTACCTTAATGCCACGGTTACTTTAAGTTTCTAAATCTGGTAGTATTAAAAATCACTATCTAATCAGCAGTTGGTAAATATTTTGGCAGTCTACATTGGCTGATATGTTCTGGTTAGCACTTATATCCCCAGCCTCTCAGCCACAGTGTGCTGAGCATAATACACGTCTCCTCAAGTACTCATGGAGCATCTAAACAGTCTTGGTATCAAATACAGTCTTTGCCAGCAGGATCTTAAACAAATGCAGATATCTGGACTGAGTTTAGATCTTGAAAAACAATTCTGCACGGCATTTTATATTATAAAAGCATTTTATTGAAACACACTCTGAAGGTAGTCAGAACCAGGACAAACCCGGGGTGGGGGAAGGAAGTGGGATTCTGTTTTGATGGTTTAGTTACTGAAGAACATTGGGGGGGTGGGGGTGTTCTTTTGCCATCATCTTTTGCCTGTCTGTGTTGTAGGGACCTAAATACTGATTGAAGCAGAACATAAAATTGTGACTTGGGAGGCTAGAGACTGGGGACTGGACAGTCTAGTAGATCAAAGAATGTGGTTTTGCAGTAGGACTGGTCTAGACCACACTCCAAAAAAAGAGAAATCTTTGGCTTGGGCGACTGAGTGGAAGAGACAGCCACCATGGACAGGGTCACTGCACTTGAGAGCAAGGGCTTGGTGCAGGGGCTTAGCTCTTGAAGCTCTTCCGGGAAGAAGAGGTGGTGGAGACAAATTTGACACTGGAGCTACTGCCTCCTCCAGTACCAAAGCTTAACCCCATGTTTCGGCCACTGCCTCCACTGAACCCAGAGCCCCCCACGCTGAGCCCACCGCCTAGGCCTCCGCCTCCGCTGCTGCTGGAGTAGTAGCTTCCGCTGCCACCTCCGCCAAGACCGCTGCCAAGGCCACCACCGATGCCACCACCATAGCCACCACCGTAGCCACTGCCACCACCATAGGAGGAGGAGACGCTGTTGGTGACGACAGCTGCAGGGAGAAGAGAGAACACTTGGTGAGGACAATTGATTAGGTTGATCCTACATGTCCAATTTATTTTATCTTGCTATCTGGCCTTTTGTTGTTGTTGGTAAACACTGTCAAGCCAACTAAGACTCACAGTGACCCTACGAACCACAGATGAACACCTGGCCTCATTCAGTGCCAGCCTCACCTCCCTACCATGCTCAAGCCAATGGTTGCAGTTAGTGTGTCTCTCCATCTTGTTGAGGGTCTTCCTCTTTCTGGCCCACCCTCTACTTTTCTCAACATCATGCCTTTGGTGGTCGTTGTTAGATGCAGTCAAGTTGACTGGACTTATAGCAGTCTCAAGAACAGATCAAATCCTTGTCCTCTCCTGCACCATCTTCACCATCTTGGTTAGGCTCAAGCCCACTGTTGTGGTCACTATGTCAATCCATTTCGTTGAGAGTCCTCTTTTCTTTTGCTGGACCACTGCCTCTCTTGGCATGATATATTTTTAGAAGCAGCAAATGAGGCCAGAAGGCTGAAGTCATTTATCTAAGACCCTTAGCAGAAAGGTAAATGCTGCTGAGTCAGCTACAACTCTTAGTGACTATATGAACAACAGATCTGAATCTTGCTCTATCTTGCACCATAGTCACTATCTTTGTCATGCTCAAGACAGAACATGCAGAAGATGTTAATCATAGCAGGTAAGGTGCTAGGTACTGGAGGTGAGGGAAGCTGTGGGGACATAGCAGAAGGCAGGGTTTATATTCCTAATATCTAAGAGATAAGACATGAGCCAAGTTGCTTCATGTCCCAGTATGCACTCTTTCCTCGCCACTCCCCGCCTCTCACTAAAAGTGGGCAAAATAACCATGTCCTGGAATGAGAATGTTAATGTATTTAGAAGTGGGATTCTGAGTGAAAACTCAGAACTCCCTGTTATCATCGTTAATACTAAACAAAGTTACTTACAGATATTAACGGGTCCAACTCCTTCTCCACTCAGTCTGAAAGAGGGAAAAAGTGAGATGAGAGTTGAAAACTCCAAGAAAAATACCTTTAAACTATGTGAGTAACCCCATAGTCATTTTTAGAGCTTTTTCTTATAACCTAGGAGTCTGTAAACTTAAAAGCTGTTTAAATTAGGAAAAGAAATGAGCTCTGTCAGTACTTCTCAGTGCAGATGATTTAGAAATGGGGAGGGTTAATAATTTGCATTTTCCTCCACCCATTATGTGGAAAATATGACTGAGATGTTTTGAGAAATATGAATATGTATAGTGCAACTCTGCCCTGTAGTTTACTCATATAATAGTTTACTAGTAAGATGAGAGAACTTGATATGGACAAAAATCCTTCTAACAGAAAATCATCTATGGTCATTGCCAGACTGACACAAAGGTAGAGTTTCAGAACCCAAAGGCAGGTGTGTTTAATTAATCATGAAAGGCTTCTGGAGGTGGGTCTGATGTGGCATAAGGTTGACAGCAAGGCATGGTAAAAGCAGAAAAGGGGCAAAGTTCAGGACACCCTTGTTGACTGTTTGGTGTTTGGAAGAGAGGAAGAATCCAACAATACTGGTGGTAATAAACAACACTAGAAAAGTCAGTTATGTTTAGATTGTGCGGGATGAACTGGGTGCACTCATGTTAGATTTTCATCGTGCACAAGGTAGTGTTTTCTCACAGGAATGTTTTACATGTTATAGTGAAGAAGAAATCCAATTTTATTGAGAGACCATCCTGGGCTCATTTCAGCTCCGTTACCCACCTGCACTCCTCGCCCTCCAGCAGCTTCCTGTAGGTGGCGATCTCCACGTCCAGGGACAGCTTGACGTTCATCAGCTCCTGGTACTCGCGCAGCAGCCGGGCCATGTCCTGCTTGGCCTTCTGCAGGGCGTCCTCCAGCTCGGCCAGCTTGTTCCTGGCATCCTTGAGGGCCAGCTCACCGCGCTGCTCAGCATCAGCGATGGCGCTCTGCAGGTTGGCGCACTGTGGAGGGAAAGGAAGAGGAAAAGGGAGCACACATTTTTCTGAAATTCTGGAGAAGGCAAACTAAATTCCTGGAGTCTCAGATAGAACTTTGTACATCTGTTCTGGACCCTGAATGGTGGAACACTGGGATTCCAACTGTGAGTGCTCCAAACGTGTCCATGATTGCATTTGCATTTGCAATTCTACCTCTGAAGTACTCAATCAGAATCTCCATTTTAATAAGATCTCTTGATGATTCTTATGGTTAACAAGAGAGTAGAATGGATGTAAGAGAGGGAACACAAGAAGGAAATGTAAGAGCTTGACCCAGAAAGAACCATTAAAGACCTGGTGCAAATTCACAAAACTGAAACAAAGCAAAATAGCCTTCTCAGGTCTCAGGCCCCCTCTTGGCCTTCTCTCAATCTCACCCTACCTGCTTCTTGACATTGTCGATCTCAGATCTGAGCCTCTGGATCATCCTGTTCATCTCAGAGATTTCATGCTTGGTGTTCCGGAGGTCGTCCCCATGGCGGCCAGCTGTCAGTTGCAGCTCCTCATACTGACGCCACCAGAAAAGAGAAAAGACTGAGTTTATGTGGGGAAGGACAGTCATATCCTGGAGCCAACAGACAGGGAGTCAAGAAATGACAATTGTTATTGTTTCTAGGATTCTGGGCCTGGCTTAGGCTTTGCCAGCATGAACCTAATATTATTGAATTTCCTTTTTTTGGCATCTTTGCTGTCCTAGAGACAACTGTATAAACCTCAAAGTGAGAATTATGATTCTTGTGGGAAATATACACATGGTTCTTTCCATAAGTTATTACAAAAGACATCATTAATTTTCAAGTCCCCATTCTTCGCCTTATGTCATCACCTAGAATCCCAGACACATGACCATCCTTCACTCAGGAGCTGTTCTCCACACAGCACCCACCTTGGTCTGGTACCAGGATTCAGCTTCCGTCCGGCTGCGGTTGGCAATGTCTTCATACTGAGCCTTGACCTCGGAGATGATGCTGTCCAGGTCCAGGTTGCGGTTGTTGTCCATGGACAGCACCACAGAGGTGTCTGAGACATGAGTTTGCATCTGGGCCAGCTCCTGCAGAAATACTGGAAGTCAGTCACCAGGATCTGTAGCATTTAGTGTCAATTCCCTTCAAATATTCCCCTCATATGTCTGTGGGAAGGAACAAATCCCAGGGCACTCACCTCACAAAATTAGGTAAATCAATTGAACATCTTGAATTTTGAGTAACTCTTTCTTAAAGAACTTTAATATCTCTGAGCCTTCAAGAAACCCCTCCTATCTCTCAGATTTAATCGTTTTCTTTTAGATTCAATTATCTTTAAACCTATTTTAGACAAATCTGTGCAGCCAATTATTCTGACAGAAAAAAACTGGGAGTGATAGCCCAGAAAAGAGGCTATCATAAGAGAAAAAGTATAATTGGGTTTTTGATAAGTCACTCTAAATTTCATTGTGCTAAATGGTTTTTGAAAGGATTTTAGACTTTAAGTTTGACATTTTTGGGTTCTTTTCTCCCCAGAGTTAGCCTTATTCTGAGTAATGTAGATAGTATTAAAGGGAGCTCTGGTGGCACTATTGGGTAACTGTGAGTTGCAATTGAGCAAATTTCATTGAGTAATAGAAAAAGAGTTGAAGAGAAAGAGTTGTGTCTACAGGTGAGAAATTGTTGTTGTGGGCCATAGAGTTAGAACTGACCCACAGCTGAGCCTCTGGTGGATTTTCAGAAGCAGTTAATCACAAAGGTAGAGACTGCCCATCTTTCTCCTACAGAGTGGCTGGTGGCTTCCAACTGAGTGATTTTGGGATTGATGAATCTCAACCACCAGAGGTCCTAATCTCTGGTGGTGTTCCCAGTGGCATCTGTTGGGGTCTTAAATAGGGACATTCCTTACCGCCTCAAAGAAGACCTTTAAGAAGCCGATCTCATCCATCAGTGCATCAACCTTGGCTTCCAGCTCCACCTTACTCATGTAGGCAGCATCTACATCCTAGGGAAATAGAGATGGCTTGGCATTGCACCAGATATCCACCCTTTCTTAAGTGAAACACTTCTCTCAGAGAGCACAGCCACAGGCTACAGACTCTGCCGCACCCACACGCACCTTCTTCAGCATCACAAACTCATTCTCAGCAGTAGTACGCTTGTTGATCTCATCTTCATACCTGGTGGCAAGAAGAATAGGAGCCAGTGGTCAGAAGATGTGGCACAGATGAGGCTGGGGTCTCACTGAGCCAGGTCACTATGAGCCTGTTCCCAGTTGGGAAAGAGCATCTCACATCTCTTAGGTAGAGAGGCAGCACTGGGAAGGCTCCGTATCCTTTAAGACATTGTTTCTCTGTAACTGCCAACCAGACCATGACTCCATTTACTGCCAGATTTCAATTGCACATCTAGTTAATATCTCTGGTATTTTTTTTCAGCTCTCAGAGCATTAAAACAATAATAACAACCACAAAACAATTGAGCTGCTGATTCACATGAACTTAAAAAAAAAAGTCATTTGAGTCACCAGGCTGAACTATGCTATCAGCACTGGTTTGTTTTGTTTTGGGGTTTGTTTGTTTTGTTTCATTTGGTTGGGGTTTTTTTAGGTAAGTCATTAAAATGCTTGGATTGCACATTTTTAAGTGTATAGGAAAGTCCCCCAAAAGCAAAGATTACATTTTAAATGTACAGGGGGAAGAAAGTCCCCAAAAGCAAGGATTACATGGCTGCATATTTTCCCAGGTCGTGCCAAGGGTGTGGGCTATTGTTCTGTCTGTTGGCTAAGTGCCCGGTGGAGGGGCACTAGGACTGCTGTGTTCCAAACATGAGCCTGGAAATTTTATGGGTTTTTTTTAATACATCAGGTGTCCACGAAAGGTTGTTTGCAACCCCTGGTCATACCATATACCTGGTTGTGAAACTTATCTGACATCAGGAAGACATGGCCTACTCCCAGGTCCAGCCCTGCCCTGACTCACTTGTTCTTGAAGTCCTCCACCAGGTCCTGCATGTTCCTCAGCTCTGAGTCCAGGCGGCCTCTCTCCCCAACGATACCGTCCAGCTGCCTCCTGAGGTTGTTAATGTACTGCTCGAACAAGGGCTCGAGGTTCTGCCTCACCGTCTTGTTGCCCTGCTCCTGGAGCAGGGTCCATTTGGTATCCAGGACCTTGTTCTGCTGCTCCAGGAACCGCACCTGGAGGGCACCAGAGAGTTTGAAGTGGGACAAACTTAGATTTCATATTTCAACAGTTCATTAATCAACATTCTCTAGTCCTCTGAAAACCTTCCCATATGGGCTGCCTGGGCCTGGGCCTTTGGAATGGAATTCCTGAGTGAGGTGTCTAACGTTACTTTCCTAGGGAGACAAGTCACACCCCAGGGCACAAATTGCACCTGGGATGGTTTGTCAGAATGTGGCCAGGCTGCCATTTTATCTTTCTGCACAATTGTCCCCATTGCTTGAGATCTGGAATTCACTCTTCTGTCCAGTAGTTATCAAAGAACCCTGGGCTGGCCACATCTTCACGAGGAAGAAAGAAGATCTTCCTGGCCAGCTTCTAGTTGGCTTAAAATAATCCAGAAGCACAGACAATGGAAGTACATAGCTGCAAACTACGTGGGCATTTGCACAAAGTCAGACATGTCTCCCGTCTTCCCACTTTCTTTGGCATCCACTGCAGACGCCCAGTGGGGTTTACGAGTGGTCATGTCTCACCTTGTCAATGAAGGAGGCAAACTTGTTGTTAAGGGTCTTGATCTGTTCCCTCTCCTCAGTCTTCACCCGCTGGATGGTGGGGTCGATTTGTAGATTGAGGGGAGTTAGGAGGCTCTGGTTGACGGTGACCTCTTGGATGCCCCCAGGAGGGCAGACAGGGAAGCCAGGGCCACCAAAGCCCCCTCCAAAGCCAGCTCCGCCACCAAAGCCAGCTCCACCACCAAGCCCGAAGCCACCACCAGCTCCACCACCCAAACCAAATCCGCTCCCGGCTCCGCCTCCGAAGCCATAGCCACCTCCAGCACCTGCACCAAATCGGTTCCTGAAGCTGCCGCCACTCGTGCTGATGGAGATCCTCTTGGAGCCCCCCACATTGTAGAGGCTCCGGCTGCCATAACCTCCGGCTCCACCAGCCCCGCCAAGGCTGATCCTGCCAAAGCCACCACCACCACCACCAGCCGACCGGGACACGGAGGTGAAGCTGGTCCGAGAGACAGAAGGAGTAATGGCCGATGCAGCACTGAAGCTGCGGCTGCCCCCGCTTCTAAAGGACACGCTTGATTGGCGAGACATGCTGACTTGTTCCTGGTGGAGCAAGAGAACTGGACACTGGAGGGGCTGGGAAGGACTGGCAAGAACAGAGCTCAGGAGCAGGCAGCAGTGGCTCTGTTACCTGGAATTGCCAGCCCCTTTTATCCCCTCTAGAACTGGGATGGGCCAGAAGCTGTTGAGATGTGAATGATTAAGTGGGCTGGGCATGCCTGGGGGGCAGCTGTGAGCTCACCACACCTGCACAGTGGTGTGGGGTGCAAACGCTTTCTTCCTGGCAGGCTCTGCTCATTTAGGAATAACCTTGCCTCGCAGCACTGGTCTATTGGCAGCTAAGCAGCAGCTCTGCCAGCCAGTCTCTGAAGCAGGGGTCTGGGGGCTGTAGGCAGGATGCCAGGGAACAAGGGGGCATGGGCCAGTGCTCTGAGGGATCCTTCAGGACCCGTATTCACAACAACTATCCTGGTGTAGGCACAGAGGGCACGTGCTCTTCTAGACCTGGGGATGGCACGGGGACATGTGAGCCCCCTGCCTGGCAGTATCTCCTCTCCTTGCCCTTTTCTAGGCAGGAGGTTGCTAAAGCAATTTCAGGTTTTGGAAAGATAACCTCTGGCCTGATATCTTGTTTATGTGCCAGAGGGAAATAAAAACTTTGGCCCTTACGACAGAATAGTTTTCTATGGGGAGACACAGTTGTCCAAGAGGCTGTTGGGGAGACTCTTCAGCATGTCTCTGGCTGCTTCAAGTTCCAGAAATAGAAGACCTGGGAACCTACTGCCCCTGGTGCAGACCCCTTTGCTTTTACAGGAGCTAGCCTGTTCTTCCAGAGCTACCCTGAAGTCAGCACTTTCCATGGCCTTTGCCTTTCAACTTTTCCCCTTGCTTTTCATGTCAGTTAAGCAAACTCCGAGATCTCCTGTGCTCCTGACAAAAACTCTTGAGCCCTAGCCTGGCAGTCACGTCTCCTTTTGGGGTGGGGGGGAGCCCCTTATTCCTCCAACCTTCCAGGTATGTTCCAGCAAGCCCTCAGTTATCCTGCTAGGGAAGAAATGAATCATCGAATCTGTTGATACAGGCTGCAGGCTGCCACAAACACATACCTGCAGGAGCTTCTAATCTCATCAGTAACATGTTAAGAATCTGCCGACCTGTTATAACGGAGGGCGTGCTGCTCTGGTCCAAGCAGCGGGAATTGCTGAGTTTTCCCAAAGCACTAGCCCAAAGCCTCCTTCAGGGTCAAGGGGATGGAAAATGGATTCTCACTTCCTGGCTTATTCTGCCAGAGAGACAAGAAAAAGCAAGTTGAGGGGACTGTGTGGCTGGTGGAACAGTCTGTCACAGTGCCTTCAGACTGACCTCCCATGAAAGTCCTGGGGAGGACTAGATTGGGTGAGTCTCATTGTTAGAGGAAGAGTGTTCTGACCAGATTTTAGCAAGTAAATTGTCTTATGCCAGACAAGGTGCTGTCCAGTCAACACTGATTCATAGCAACCACATGTGGATCTGAGTAAAACTGTGCTCTACATGGTTTTTAATGGCTGTGATTTTTTGGAAGGACATCACCAGGCCTTTCTCCTAAGGTGCCTGTGAACAGACTCCAGTCTTTCAATTAGCAGGTGAACGCATTAGCTGTGTGAGTGCACCATGCTCACATAGCTGAGTGGGAACACCTCACCCAAAACAGCACCAGCATTCTCAGGGCTCTCAGTGAGAGGTATGGAGACATACCTGGCCTGGGGCTGAAAGCAGGGTGACAGTGCATACAGCTCTGAGTTGAGGGACTTTGTTCTCAAGAGTAGAGGAATTTGGAACCAGGCCAGGCTCAGAAATCTCTCATTTAGGGCCTGCAGGGGCAGGGTTGGCCACAGGGAAGCCCGAGCTGTGAGAAAAGGACTCGGTGAGGGCACAGGTAGGGTGTCAATTGCTCAGCAGAGAGATGTGTTGAGAAAGCAGCTGACAGATGAATACAGGCTGACCGGCTGGCTGCAGAGCAGGCGTTGCAGGTCTTGGGCAAGGAGCTTTGGGCTGCCTACCTGCAGAACGTCTGAGATACTCAAAGAGGAGTCATACCGAATGAATTAATCTCATTGTTGTCTTTTGGGGAATGGATGTGAGTCTCTTGGGGTTCCTGAGATAGACTAGTTACTCTTATCCCTGACAGAACAGACTAACCTTGAAACAAATCTAGGAGTGTCTACCATGAGTCTTTCCCCTGTACCCTCAGGTGACCCCTCCCAATGTGCGAATATGCAGGCGCATGTTCACACACACACACACACACACACACACACACACACACACACGGGTGCAGTCCCCATTGCCTTTGGGGGTAGCCCCACCCCTCAGAAGACACTGGAACGTTCTCTCCATTCATTCTCCTCCCAGCTGTGTTGTGGAAAGAGCAGGAATGCATTCAGGCCAGTCTGAGAATTGTTGCAGTTTGCCAAGCTTGGGACTCTGATGCCAGGGACCCAAGGCATGTGGGTGGCAAGTAACTGTGGCCAGGAGTGTTTGGGTGCCCCGCTCATGGGGGAGAGCAGCACTCTTCTATCAGAGCGTCACAGGAATGCTCCTCTAAATTAGCAGGCCCTGCCCGCCCCGTGTCTGACCTGGGCAGTGTCAACAGTGGCAGCGAGTCCCTTAGGAAACAAGGCACCAGGACAGGACTCCGTGAGAGAGTTCCACCCCAACCTGGAATCTCACTGGTGCAGGAAGAGGAGGATTACACTGAGCTCAGGAGCTCTTCTGCAAGACACCCCTAAGAGGGATTACTGAGACTTGGTGGGACACGTCCTTTAGCTCTCTAAGTATCTTTCCCTCCACCAGCAAAAGATGAAAGAAGGGCTATGTGATTTCTAAGGTTTGGTCCTTCTGGACTCCCGATCAGAGAAATGGGAGTGATTAGAAGCCTGGTGGGGCCTCCCACTCAGGGTGTGTAAAGGACATTGACTATGGCAGCACTGTGCAAAAAGGGAAGCATTTCACACACATCAGGCGGAGAGTAGTATTGGTCCAAGTGTTCAGAGGGCAGACAAATCACAGAATATCTGGCTCAGGACTGTCAGAGGCCCTGCTGCAATCTGCCTGTCTTTGCTAGGACACAAATCTGATTTTGCACATGCCCTCTAAGTCTGATGATACCTCAGGTTTCTTCAAGGTCGAAGAACATGGTGGCTGATCTTTGCATCCCACAGACCCAGTCCAGCTTTGCACACTGCAGGCCCTCAGCATATCATTATTAAGGCCATGTCCCTCTACTTCTTTCCCGATCTCTGTGTAAGACCATTGCCCAGGCCCATGCCAAGGCCAAAAGGACCCCGTCTAGAGTGCAGGTCTCCCTCCTTCCAGCCTGGGTGCCCTTTCAGGACTATTTCCTGGTCTACCCTTTATTCCTTCTGACCTTCCGGTTCCAAGAATCCTCTACTCCTGAGCCCACTAGTTTTCTAGTCATTTAGTACCTATAGGAACTCACAACCAGAGCAGCCCCCAAGCCTTCTCTCTACACCCCCTCGAGGAGAGAAAGCAGAGTGAGCAATAGTTGAGGCATGACTCACCCTATTCATTGGGCCATGGCTGGCAGCCCCATCTGAGAGCCCAAAGCCAGATTTGGCAGAAAGGAGAAGGGCAGATGGAGCACCGTGACAACCCCAGACAATTTTCCCAAAATTCTGGCCTCAGGGAGGAATTTTTCTGCCTCCACCCAAAGCCAATGGGAATTCTGCCCCCACACCCAGCTCTGGGTCCTTGCTTTGCCTTCTGTCAGATTCAGAGGGTTACATGTATCACCCCTCTTCCATGCAGCCACATCTGGCTAGAAAACCCAGCCCACATCTCCAGGACTTTAAAAAGCCAAGTCTAATGGTGATCTGGATAGAAATGCCACCACTTGACTTTGACTCAGGTGGGCTTTGCAGGTACTTTGCTGCTGTTAATATTGGGATCACAGGTAGAGCCCAATGCCTCGAAGCAGAATTTTCGTTTTTAAGAGCCTGGTGGAAATTGTGGGTTACAGTGTGGGTACTATAACTGGTCGGCACAGCCTGGACCTCGTCTCAGTTCGAATGCAGCCATTGAATTGCTGTGGGACCCTGGACCTATCTCCCAGATTTTCTCTGCCTAAACTCCCTACTGGGTGCAGAGACAAGCTCTGTCTACAGTCATGGAGGACAAGAGGTCTGAGCTCTCCTGTGTGGTATTTCTATTTAGAGCTGGCTGGGGGTGAGGCCGGAAGGGCGGGGCGGATGTTGCAGGGGCTGCAGGAACAGCCTTGGCCCCCACCTCTCGGGCTCTGCAGGCGATTGGCACTGGCGTGGTGTGCGCTGCAGAACCCAGCTTCCCCCCCCCACCCTTCCCTCCAGCAGGCCCCTGCAAGTCTGGGGAATGTTCTTTCCTTCTTGGAAGGGTGTTTTGCCAGTGGCATACAAAAGCCTTTGAAAATCCCCTCTGTCTATTGAAACTATGGGCTAGAAATCAACAAATACTTTAATTAGTCAGAGAGATGAAGAAAAGGATATAAAACAAAACCTCTGTGCTTTGCTTTCTCAGAGAAAGGTTTTCTACCTTTCATAAGCACTTACTGAGTGTATCATGTGCTGAGCAATCCTGTGAGCTTTGCATATCTACCTAAAATAATGAACAAAGAAACAAGGGCTCCAGCCTTTCTCTTCCACTTTCTTTAGTCCATACATGTGGGTGTGAGTGTGCCTAGTGCCCTGGGAATGTACAGCCTTTCTTGTCAGGAGAGAGACAGGAACATGTTTTACTTAGGCCACACTTGTGTCCTAAAGGGGCTCTAATGGCATATTTGGTAGGAACTTGCACTAATAAGGCAGAGACTGCTTGCCTCTGGTGATTCGAATCCACCAATGACTCTGTGAGAGAATGATGGGTGGTCTCTTCCGGTTGCAATTTACAGCCTTGCCAACCTGATGGAGGGTCCCTGATTCAGAACTGACTTGACAGCAGTGAGTGATATTTTAAATGGAAGTGGGGCATGGAGACAAGTTGTGGGTGCATTCTTTACCTTCCCCATGCTCCTTTTCTTCCTAATCTTTTCCATTCCCTCTGCAGTAGCTAATAGGAATTGAAAGACTCACCTGAGACAGTGATAGAGATTTAAGCTGCCCTCTCTCAGACCTCCTGCTTGGCTCCCAGCTCCCTAATCCTGAGGATAGCCAGGCAAGGCACAGAAGGACAGAGTCTTGTTTCTGTCTGGTTTCCCCTTTGGTTTTGGGCAAGCTTCAATCATCTGTGGAAAGTGAGTGGAGATGCTGATAATGTGATGAGGAAGAAAGAAAGTTACAAACAGTGTTGAGGCTACACGGGTTGTCCC